ACTAACTTAACGGATAATTTGGTGGAGTATTCAAGTGTCACCAACGTTCGAGGCCTGTTCCATGAAGGTCCCTGTTGCTCTTGGTCATTCCTGGCCGGCGCCCTCGTCCCGAGCCGTAAAACAAGACCTGATTTCTCTGCTCAGGTCTTCGGTAGTGTTGGATTGCCAGATTTTGGTTGCATCGAGACGTGTAGCACGCGGCATTTTGGATGCGAATGAGAGGTGCACTTTCGAGCGTGTACGAAGGAGAACATGGTGAGACTTATGGGCGTCACCAGTCTCAGTACCGCGAAGCGACCTGCCATCATGAACCCAGGCACGGAACCCTGGACTGGGAATGTAGTCCATTTGCCTGGTCGTATGACCGTCGTTTGAGTACTAGGTTAGTAAATGTTTGTTGTGATGCTGAAAACACGTGTTCTCGACAAGCAGTCGATTATAAGCAGCAAAATTCAGCTATCGCTCACCACTGTCGCACCAGGAAGCATGTTCTGGGGCCAATAAGGTGACCTTTTGTGGAGTCACCGGGTCCAACTCGGTCATTCCAGTTCCCGAAAGCAATTACCAGATCGCTTGCAGCTGCGAATAAAACTTCCTTATGGCACTGGTTAGCAGCAAAAGTTGGTGCGAACACTGAGACGATAGAGGAGTGAGATAACCCTTCAGTCGCACATGGAATATCCGTTCATTGACTAGTTCCAAAAAAGTAGTGCACGGTTCGCTTGTTGCGAGAAGGCGGTTGCCACACTGGGTCTACCGGAAGGGTCGTGCGGCAAGTTGTAGTACAGGGGGAAGTGTGAATTGATTGCCGGCATCTTTATTCCCCTGAATCAGGAATTCGGAATTCATGCAGGCAGCAGACATCCATGTCGTACTGATAAAGGTTATGCGCCATCAAACTTTGGGTACCAGCGTCAAAGAACATCGGCACATTCCAGCATCCAATACCAAAAGTTTGTTCACAATTAAGTACTCCAGCTCGCATACTATTCGCTCGCTCCACTAGTGCGGCAGTTCCCTCAGCCACCGTAGAATGGATCGCAGTCGGACATATTTACATGAGGTTTCTTGAGAATGATGACTACGACCGGGTCCCCAATAGCCGCTTGGATTGTCTTTTTTCGAGTTTGTCTCTATCGCTTTGGTTCAAAAACCTAACCACAAGGCAGCGGTTGCAAGCGAACATCTTTAATATCGGTTCACGGTCGCCATGTCATCGGGCTTTGTGGTTTTTACAAGGCTTTCTTTGTGCCAGACCTCAGCCCGCCGCGCCCAGCTTGCACTGTAGCTACTGGTTCGCGATCGCTGGTTCTTCAGATCCAAGAATGCTTATTTCGCAGATAACCACTGAATGCAATTGAACTCTCCGCAACCTGTAGACAACAGCTAGGCTAAATGCTATAACAACGCTAAACTTTTTAAACAAGATGACACGCAATACGCACAGTTCACATCAGGTCTGCCCTTGAAAAGTTTAGCTGCCTTCAATATTGCCACGGCAAGGGAAAATTGTCTTATCTGAGGTCAGAGCTCTATACTGTAGTCACTGGCGACTCAAGACCTTACCTTGCTTCCTGTGTTCTACTGCGTGTAATCAGACGGAGGGTTTGCACTGTCGAATCTATCTAGTAACCGAAATATCGCACTGATTTCGCAGTTACTTTCGAAAGCGGCAGTCCCGACACAGTACCTGTAGACTTAAATAGGATATCCTCCTTCCCAGGCGTCCCTGTTGCTGCGCAGCCGTAGCATTGTAATTGTAATTTTCAGCCTCGGCAGTACAGCTCAATTAACTATCATTGCGCGCCAGCCTCGGAACCTTTGGCTGATTATGATGTGGCCAGGTATAATTTTCATCTCTCAAATGACAAATGCGTTGATTTTTGCGGCGATGCTAGAGTACATGTTAGTGACATCCAGTTCAGTCATCGGTATTGATTAAGAGATCGTAGTGAGGAAGGTTTTAAGTCAGACCTTGCAACTGCAGATTGAAAATATGTTCACATATATGTAGAGGGTGTACGTTAAAACGAAAAAAAATATTGTTAGAATGCCATTTACGCAGCACACAGGCTGCCCCTGGCAGTAGTAATCTTCTAACGCGACCCGGTGATTACCGCGCTGTGTCTACCGGTGGTGGCCATTAATCCCCAGGGGTGCCTTCTTCTGGTGAGGGATGCATATCGAAAATAATTTAGTCTTTCCAGTATTTATGGACAAGCCGACCGACATAGTGATCTCATTTACCCGCGATACTACATATTGTAGACTACCAAAGCTTGAGGTTAGCAGAGCAATACTATCGGCGTAGTGAGATCAGTCAGTCGGCGTCCGGGTGGAAGCTCAACGCCGTCTTCTCTATGTGGGGCCTTCCCAAGAATCCAGTCAATGGCATAGCTAGACAAAATGGGCGACAGGACGCGGCCCTTTCAAACACCAAACCAGGATATCGAACGATTGGGAGATATTGTTGTGGACCAGCACTCCAGCGGTGGTGGGGCGATTATAGGCCTTAACTATGGGATGCTATCGTCGTCCGCATCATTAGTTTTGCTATGCTGCCCTTGATCCGCCGCCACAGCCCCCCTGGAGGCGTCGAAGAGGGGAGCGACTCAAAACCTGTCTCGATACCCTTCGTCAATACATGAAAACGGTTATTGAACCTTCGATTTTCGGTCTCCGTCGCTGGGGGAGAGAATATATGGAGCTTTCCAGATCCGCTGCTGTCAATCTTCACTCGTGGAAGGGTAACATCCGTGATATCACTGAGGCCAACTAGATCGGGCATGATGGCAGCAGTATCAATTACAAGTCTGCGTGAGTAGCGCGGACCGCTGTAACGGCAGAGCCTGATTTACCCGAAGCTCAACTGTATGAATTCCAGTTTTGGCTAGGCAAACAACATCCGCGCTATCTCCAAGGCCCACGCTGCCCCGGAATAGTGAAGCTCACCCACCGTCGTGTACTCTTTTTTGTGATAGTCCATTCGGTTAAGCGTTTCATGAAATGTCTTTTCCCAACCATCCTCTGTAGTTTGTTTTCAGAGATCGTGTTGCCTAGCGTCTTTGCCCATCAATGCCTGAACACAAGTAAGCTGTTACATGAAAACGTGTCTGATGGAATTTTACGACAATCATATCGTTAGTTAGTTGGCTTTGTGCGTAGTGCGCCACATTGCAACTCTCGCGACCGCATTATTTGCAGCTGATCCATAGTCCCCTCACCAAGTTACATGCAGAGTTTTCCAAACATAGGTCCACCTCTTCCATTTCTACCTATGTCAGATATAATTATTTTGTTGTACATTTCTCTGAAGCCAATGAAGGTCTCTCTTTCAGTATTTGCATTCGTTGACTTTAATATAAGAAATTCAGCCTATGAAAATTTCCCAGCTGTTGTTT